ACATTTGTCCCTTTGGAAGCAAGAAGTGCCCTTTCTCCTTATTCCTGTGGATGCTGATTGTACCTGTCTGTCTGATCCTAAAGAAGGCATGGAAACGGGCTACACACCCAATCCTAAAGAATGAGATTTATGCAAATGAGCTTTCTCAAAGATCCTCACACATCTTTCTCTTGTGCAGGCTCCACAGAGATAACTGCAGCTCAAAAGTTGTAGTAACATCCTTGGAGCAGCAGCAGAAGGTGAGAAATAGTCTGGGATGGGTCCTCAAGGTTACAGCAAATAAACAAACCATCCAAACAGTTTATTTGAAGGTAGGGAAGTGTTTTTTCCTCCAGATAAATCTCTTATCTTTTATATATGTAGAGCACAGCCAAATGATACTGTAGCGCTATCAAATACTGTGACCTTGTCTACAATGGGAAAACACGGTGTCTTTAGCAAGACAGTTAGCCAACATGTGTTAATTAGCATGTTTTTAGGTACTGCTGAGCACCTAGGCAGAATTTAACATGTTCAAAAATATCTTGTCTAGGACCATGTCTTCACTGGGGAAAAAAAAGGTTCGAATTAAAATCCCACTGAAGACAAGGCATTTGTAGTTTTAACACAAGTTAGCGGGTTGAGTTAAAGACTATAGGGGAGTCGGAGTTTAACTCTACTTGCTAACTAATGATAAAACTACAACTGCCTTGTCTTTGCTGGGATTTTAACCTGACTTATCTAAATCAAGTTAAGAACACACCTCTTATTTGCAGTGAAGACATGCCCTGGGTTTGACCAGGACCAGCTAACTCATAATTAAACAACACTGTCTTTGCTCACATGAAGTGCTCAGTGGTATTGAAAAACATGTTAAATAGTATTAAGCACATGGTACACCTCATTTTCCCAATGTAGATAAGGACTATATCATGGCAGGTAAATAAATCAAATAAAAAAAGAAAAAAGACCAAGAATCTGCTCTAGGAAGGACACACCTCAGTGCAACCTGGGAAGCTACATTTGGTTTTGTAAATAGGATCAGAAACATGAACCACAGTAAGTGGAGAATAGAAACCTAGTTTAAATTATATAGCCATTTACAAATGAAGGCTGGCTGAATTAGAAACCTGCAACGGTTAATAAAACTGTGCTCTGTCGGGGGAACAAACATTTACATCATTAGCAGAATTAAATTTAAAGATGCTGGATGTCATATTTATTTTAAAATGACAGATTATTGCCCTTTATGGCCCTATTAACTGAATTCATTAAGTTTTATGGGGCCTTTATACATTGGCTGCACTCAATGAAGACATTTAGGAATGCATGTGTTAAATTCAGGGAATGGCCTGGTGTTCCTGTCTCACAGGCCTCCCGATGGTCACGAGAAACCCCTTCCCCCATTCTCCTGGTTTTTACACCTTTCCTGAAGATCCCACATTTTATTCAAGCTGAGAAAAGATAAGTAGGATTCTCTTAGGCACATCAAAGGTGTTGTCTAGAGGGGACATTGCAGGGCAATGTAAGGAGACGTGCATAGTGTCTTTGCAATGCTCTGTGCATGGCCAATCACAAGGGAAAGGCAGCAGCAAGCACTGAAACTCAAGTGTCTTATGTGGGTGTGCTCACCACAGAGATGCCAGCCCCGCTCTCATGGAAAGGTCCTATAGAAAATTATAATTTTTCCACAGTTTTTGAACCATCCTATAAAATTTAATACAAAATTATATCCTTGCTACTCTATATAATTCTATAGGATGGTTAAAAAAAAAAAGCCTTTAAGGGCTTGTCTTCACTACCTGCCTGGATCGGCAGGTAGAAATCGATCTCTCGGGGATCGAATTATCGCGTCTCGTCGGGACGCGACAATCGATCCCCGAATCAACGCGTGTTCTCCACCAGTGCAGGTAGGAGTAAGCCCCGTCGACGGGG